TTCGGGGAAAAATGTTTGATAGACTACAGCAGGCTTTAATTAAAATCGTGTCAACTGAAGCCCACGAAAACACTCCAGGAGCTCCCCACGGATGTTGAAAGCTATCTCACATCGCGTTTTCAGCGGGCCCAGCAGAAACAAGGAAAATCCTGTCCCTGCAATACTTCTCGAAGGCATCCGGGATCCTGAAATACAGAAAGTTCTGCGAATGGTGGATGTCAAGGACTAGAAAGGCGCTCTAGTGTAGGCCATAGAATTTGAGGCAGCCACTCGTAGAGACCGCCACACAATCAGAGCTGTTCTAGTCCAAAAGCCAGAGGATCGAATGATTGCTTGTCTAGACGATTTAACCAAATAACTGAATGCCTTGAGAAGGAATATTGGTGGCAAGAAACCGTCCGTAAAGTGCTGGAACTGAGGTGCTGAAGGGCACATACGAAAAAACTACAGAACACCCCACCACACAGATGATAAGACCGCTCCTAGGGAGAAGCAGGGAAACTAATTGGTGGCTTTCGCAAAGCTGAATTTGCCAGATAATGAAAAGTCCCAGTTTAAAGCGCTTCAGATTTCTGCCCTGAGTGGCGGCATAGGACATATTAATAGAGTTCTCTGCAATATGACGACAGATATAGGAGCCAACGTTACCATCATCCGAAAAGATTTGCCTTAACATATGGAAGGTAAACTTATCTGAATGCCAACCTGCGTCCGTCCAGGCTGTGTCCTGTGAGAAAATCAACATCTACAGAAAAGTAAACTTAAGCATCACGTTTAAAAGTGCCATCTACCATCACACAGCATATGAGACAAATAATAGAGATCCTATTATACTGGGATTGAATTTTCTATGGAAATACAATTTATCCTTGGACTTTAAAAATAACGAACTGCATTTCGTCTCTGAGGACATAGCCCTATTCGGAATTAATGATGAAGGAGTTGAATCTGTCCACAAAATCATAGTACGAGATACTATCAGCTAAAACAGAATTTTTACTTCCTGGATCCATAGCCGAAAACAGAAATTTCCGCTGTGGCATCATAGAATATCCCAAGAACTGTAACAACCTAAAAGGAGTGCTAGTAGCCTCAGCACTCGTTGACCTATCAATGAGTATGGTGAGAGTTGCCAATGTAGCTGACAAGGCGTGAGTTATTAAGAAAGATGAAGTGATTGCAGCATGTACTGTAGTGTTAAAAGAAACAGCAACATCCCAAAATTCATGTCTTCAGAGAGCATTACATTGGAGTTATTACAGAATGCGCAATTAAACAATGAAGAGAGCAATGGTGCCAAACGTGTCATCCAAGATCAAGACGTTTTCTCCCGGTCGACCTCTGACGTGAGTCAAACCAGTTTGACGTGACATAGAATCGATACCGGTGATCATCAAACAACATTCAAGACGTCTACCGATTGCTAAATAGGAAGAGGTAGGAAAACTTCCATAGGATATGGAAGAAGGCGATGCCATCGAGCTTTCATCAAGTCCACGGGCATTTCCTATTGTCCTCGTCAGGAATAAAGACGGTTCAACCAAATTTTGCATTAACTTTCGCCGGTTGAACGAGGTTACGAAGAAAGACAGCTACCCTCTTTCTAGAATTGACGACATTCTTGGCACTCTTTCTGTAAGCATGTGGTTTTCGACCTTTGATCTAAGGTGTGGATATTGTCAAGTAGAGATACATTCTTGATGACCGAGAAAAGACAACATTCACTACGCAGTAAGGACTTTGGCAGTTCAAGGTGATGGCGTTTGGACTCTGTAATGCACCAGCAACATTCGAACGCCTCATGGATACTGTTTTGAAAGATCTTTCCTACGAAGCCTGTCTGATATATCTGAATGACATCATTATCGTCGGAAAGAGTTTTGAAAAACATCTAGAAAAATCTTAGAAAGGTGCTTCAGAAACTGAAAGAAGCCAATTTTAAGTCGAGTCCCGCTAAATGCAAATTATTTAGACAGGAAGTGACTTACTTTGGACGTCATCTTCGCTGAAGGTGTGTGCATGGATCCTGAAAAAGTGTCAGCCGTTAAAGACTGGAAACGTCCCAAAAATGTCCATCAACTGAGAAGTTTCCTAGGGCTTTGCACCTATTATAGGAGATTAGTGAAGGGCCTTTCTTCCATCTCAAGAGCCCTTCACAAGCTGACAGAGAGCAAGCAAAAGTTCTTGTGGGCAAAAGAATATGAGGATGCACTTAACAACCTGAAAGAAGCTTTAACATTTGCTTCAATCTTGACGCTCAGCTCGACAGACCATGTATTCTCTACACGGACACGAACAGTGAAAGTGCCGGTGCTGTTTTGTCCCAAGAAATAAACTGCCAAGAACGTCTAGTGGCTTACTGGAGCAAGTGCCTGTCTAAACCGGGCAGGAATTACTGTGTCACCAGGAAAAGAGTTGCTCGCCATAATCAAAGCCGTAGAACATTTCCATCATTATCTATACGGCAGAAAATTCCTGCTCCGCACAGATCATGCATCATTGGCCTGGCTTTTAAATTTCAAGAATCCTGGCCATCAAATAGTCAGGTGGATACAGAGACTCTTGGAATATGACGTCACTATCCGTCATCGAAAGGGATCATCACACGGAAACGCCGATGCCTTATCTAGAAGATCTTGTCCAGAAAGCTGCCAATATTGTTCCAGGGTCGAAGCGAAATACGAGCTACTGCGCCTGGTCGCACGAGAAATTACAACATCAACATCGGCTGATCGAGACCCATGGAGTGACAAAGAAGTCAGGAAAGACCAGCTGGAAGATGGCGACATTAAATCCATAATTGATTTAATAGAGTCTTCAATCAGAAAACCTACTTGGCAGGACATTTCAATCTACAGTCCTACAAAAAAAAAACAATATTGGTGACTCTGGGACAGATTCCGTATTCAAAACGGTGTCTTGTAGCGGAAATTCGAATCGGATGAATGAAAGACTCTCTGATGGTAACTGCTACTTCCAAAATTCCGGTGTCCTTAAAGAACTGTGTAGCAGTCCTACAGGATGTCATTTCGAAATAATGAAGACCTTGCGGAAAGTTCGTGAGTGCTTCTACTGGAATGATGCAAATGATGACGTGCAATAGTGGTGCCGATCTTGCGATGCCTTTGTGGGTCGGGAAGGATTGAAGAAACACACCCGAGGCAAGCTGCAACCTTACAATGTAGGAGCACCTTTTTGAGTGTGTGGGACCTCTGCCACAAACTGCTGATGGCGACAAATACAGCCTCGTTGTTCGCCAAGTGGCCTGAAGCATATACTATTGCTGATCAAGAGCCTGTCACAGTAGCAGAGATAATGATACAGATTTCCGGGTTCGGAGTGCCTCTTCAGTCCATTCCGATTAGGGAAGAAATTTTACCTCTGCTGTAATCAAAGACTCTACAAGCTACTCGGCATTGACAAAACCCAAACGACGCTTTTAGATCCCCAGTTGGACGGCATGGTAGAGAGGTTTAATCGAACCATCCTTAATAACCTCTCATTGGTAGTTTCCAAAAACCAACAGAACTGAGACAAGAAGTTACCACTGTTTTACTGGCTTACGGCAGTGCTGTTCAAGAGACTGGCTATTCCCCATCTCAGATGCTCCTCGCTCGTGACCTTCATCTGCCTTGTGTTCTCTTGTTTGGTCGCTTTCTGGATGCGCCTTCATCGCCTCAGAAATACATTTAAGATATACAGGCTCGATTTGAAGTGATGCACAATTTTGCACAAGAGCGAGTCAACTCGCCGACGGAGAAGATGCAGACCCGATACGATACGAGAGCTACTGGACATCTATTCAACGAAGGAAACAAGGTGTGGTTGTGGAATCCGACTCAACGGAAATGACTCTGTCCAAAATACATTTACCTTGGGATGGTCCGTACACAGTCCTTAATTCCACAGTTACTTAATTTATATTTAAATTGAACAAATGCGATTGTGTGCTAGCTGTAACTGTAATTCTACAATTTTGTTTTCCATAAACCTGGAGAAAATAGAAATTTACCAGAATGGTCTCGTGCACTATTAAAAAGCTGGAGAAAAACATCTCAGTTCAGTTGTTTTAGTGAGCTTGTAGTTGTTTACTTAGCTGCTGTAATTTTGAGATCGGATTAGCTTTCTCTGTGCTTTGAATTGAGTTCTATTTAACGTTTTAGTAGTTTAAAATGTATCTACTGTGTGATATTGTACGAATATCTGTGAGGAAAAATTTCAGCATTTTGTTTTATTTCTTGTAATAAGAATAAACTTTATGAACTTTTCATCAGACATGCATTCAATCTATTATGAACCCGTACACACACAACATGGTGTAAATTTTGGGACGCACACCAAACTTGTTTAGGCATCGCTGCATAAGTCATTATTCAAGTTCTCATGCGTTGATAAACATGTTGTGATGAAAGCAAAATATAATAAATAATGATTCAACAGGTTAGCATCAGGGATATAAAATATTAGTAGCTGTAAAATCAACATTGTTTCTATGTACTAGAATGTTTCAGTTTGAGATTTATGCCAAGCAGATAGTGTAAATGGAGCCAAATTATTGATCACAAAAATTTATGTTTTATTGTTTCTTCAAGAACGAGGTATTTTATTTAGTGCCAAAGTAAAGTTAAGAATCGTGATTCTCCAGATGTTTTATTATGGAAGGGAAAAAATTAAATGCACATGCGCAAAGCATTTAAAAAAAATCGTAAAAGTTTTTGTTTGCTTTGAGATCCGGATTTCAGATCATCCCGGAAATGAGACATCCGGATCTCGAATTTTGTGCTGTGTATATTTTATTTTCTCACTGTATCCATAAAAAATTATTTCAGAATGGTTTTCTTTCGACTGAAGTAAAACTTTATATTAAATTTTTGAGAAATGAGTCATTCGTGTGGGCTTACTATATTACTTCAGGTTTCTGTAAAATTTTTGATTCATGTCTATGTGTGACTTTTTGAAAAATAAAATTTGCAGGAAGATATTTTTTTTTTATTTTCCAGGTGCTGATCCTTTAATTACCACTTACAATGGAATATTACCTCATGATATGGCTTTTAATGAAGGTAAGTGTCAACATTGCTAAGGCAAGTACAGGGTGTCTGAATCAAACGTACCTACTTTAAACAGTCGATTAAAAACGAAGTTTGAGTGCTATGAGTGCCACATGTGGGAACTGAATTTCTAGAGTTTAGAGACAATATTTTTTTTTTTTCGCGTCTGACTGGTATCGGTCTGACGCACCTGCGCTTTTGCTGAGCCGACAAACGGAAAAATGGCGTCACCGCAAGAGAAGACACAAATTGTTCTCTGGTATGCAGAACACAAATCCGTAGAAAAGTGGCAAAGAATGTTTCAAGCAGTTTATAAAAGAAGTCCACTCCAGAGCATTAAAAAGTAGCACAAAACGTTTTTCGAAACGGGAAGTTTACGGAAAAGATCCGGAGGTGATCGTCGTTCACATTCTGATTCACGTGTGGAAAATGATTGACAAGCTCTCGTTTGGAGCCCTCATCAATCAATCAGGCAGGCAGCTTCTGAGTTATCTGTTCCACGATCAACTGTTCATAATGTGCTGCACCGAAAACTGAGGGTGCGCGCATATATAGGTACATTTGATTCAGACAACCTATATATGCAAGAGAAATGGAATATTTTGGTGAAAGTTTGAAATTTTACCTTTTTTACACAGGGTTCGTAGCGGTCCTTACAAGTGCTTATAAGTCCTTATATTTGAAAATAAAATATAAAAGCCCTCATAGGTGCTTATTTTTTCTCTAAAGCACTTACTTTTTGTTTTTAGTGCTTTTTTTTTTAACGAACGTACATTTTTTCTCCGTACCAAAGCCGAAACTAAATAAACAACTTTACTTACTTATATGGAACGTCAGATGGTGAATCATAATCCTAGAAATAGCTTTCCGCCCCTTCCTCTGCATTAACATAACGTGCATGTCGCTCTATTGGTCAAAGAATTCCGAAAGCGGTAGAAAATTCCGGTACATTCCGTATTCTTTTGCTCCCACCCAATACTACACACGTTTGAATTTCTATCAAGATTTTAATAATTTACATTCTCGTTCCGCGTAGTGAGTTCATATTCGCGTTTATTATGGTCGGTATGCTTATATTATACGTATGAATATTTATAATATTGCTGAAGTATGGATAAACTTCAAAAATGGGTGTGTTTTAACACAAATTAGTTTTCAAAGGAATAATATTCGGAATGGCATAAATAAGGTGAAAGTAATCGAATAGTCAAAATAATATTTTTTTCCCCCAATGCATTATACAATACGGAAGTTGGGGGTTCTCCCCTTTCTCCGCAAAATCTCGAATATTGAAACCGTTACAGTTCTCAGCAAAGCAAGCAACGGACTTTTTTTTTTTTTTTTTTTTTTTGTCTTCACTTTCCCATCTGGATTGACTAGTACTAAAAGTTCTGCGGTGTACCAACCCAAGCGAAGAATGATTCTATTCCGGAAATTTAACGCAGCCTGTTCAAAATTAGAATGACAAGCACCCCAGATTGGTAAATCTCTTTATTAATCAATATGAGTACGGCAGGGATATCGCGCAGAGCGCGACGTGTCCTGCTCAATGATAAATATGCCACATGGGCGCATGACGGTGAAAACCGTACGCATATAAGCAAAATGTACACTGCTAGGACAACGGCTTGAATTTGGCCAATGACAGTCCAGATGAGGGTTTCATTAACTCCGTCCACATGAGTGACGTCATATTTTTGACGTTTGTTTACATTCTACTGTTCAGAGTTACGAAGTGCGTTTTTTGAATGTACATTTAGTTTTTCGGAATAAAAGTGTATATATATGCGTATATATTTGTATATAACCGATTTAATGTTTGTTTCGGAATATTAAGGATTATTCTACTGTTCCAATACAAAATTAGGTCTAGTCAGATAGAAAGTTACTGATGGCTGAAGATGCATGTAAAGTGTGGTTTACAAATTATTCTGCATATTGATAATCAGAAACTTTTAAGTGATAATGACTTAAATCATCTACTATATAAAATGTACCTGCGGTAATTAAACCAAGTGAAGTTAATGTTAAGTTAGTGAATCCAAGTGCTATTTTGTGTCAGTAATTAATGCAGTAAATATTTTGAATCAAAATGCCACCAGTACTATTGCAATGAATTGACATAGTGTGTGTCAAGAAATCCTTAAAATACATTTCACATATATCTATCTGAACATTTACAACATTAATTGTGCTTTGATTAAGAAATCAATATGCTTTCTTAGAAATAAACTTCATTTCATTATTAGAATGTAAAGAGTATAAAAGATGAAAAAGTGTGTCCACTCTAATGAACATATTGGAGTGTAATTTAGCTGTGAAACTACTGAAGTTAAATGATGAACATGTTATTTAATAACTGAATATATTTAAGATATGCTCTGATATTTGAAGACTGTTGGATATGCTTATCTATGAAGATTAAATCACTATTAACTGACAAATTATGGTTCTGGTAAAGCATATATCAGATTTGGAATCGTAGAAAGGAAGTTCATTGTTTTTCTGAAATGTAAAGAAAATAATACTGAATAACTGTAAGTGCTTAGTGTAATAGACCTACTAAAATCTAATTTAGTTATAAAACTGCAAATGCTAAATAATGCTGAACATAATTTAACAAGAACTGAATTTAGAAAGATATGTTATGCTATTTCAAGAGTATCGAAAATGCCTAACAATGAGGTATCATTACGTGTTCTAAGGTGTAATGTTGAATTGATACCAATAAGTATACTTTTATTTCCTGGAAACGTACCTTCAAGTGAATTGTGTGAATGTGTGTTTACAGTTCTTTACATCTAGTTAAATACAGTGAAACTTACATAAGCCAAAACTGAATGGATTAAAAAAAAATAACTTAAAGTTGTATTTCAAATTTTACATTTTGTCATATTAAAGACTGATTACCTGGGTTTCCACTGATGGTTGGACTTGATAAAATATGTCTTGAACAGGCAAAATTTTTTTTTTCTTCTGAGAAAAAGCATTTAATATTGATTTTCTTACATTAGTATGTATTTTTAACAGTGAAGTTTGTGCATTTAAAAATTTTAATGACATGCAAATTATTATATTTTCATTTATTTCCAATTTCATTAAAAGTATTTTTTTACAATTTATTGCCTGATTTTATACATTACATGTATGAGTAATAAATAATTATTGTAAATATGCTATGTAACTTATATTGTGATCTTGATAATGAAACAACTTATATATTATATATGTACGAGTCATGCATTAACTCATGGCAATTGAAATTGAATTGTTAGTAAGAATTAACTCATGGCAATTGAAATTGAATTGTTAGTAAGAAATTAATGATAATAAGATGCATTAATGTATCTAATAAGATGTATTATTGATGACAGTACATAAAATTAATTAAAACTGTAAGATATATGGTTAAAAGGTACTATTTTATTTTCGGAACCAGATTTTGTATGGATGGATGGATGTATTCATGTTACGTGTGTGTATGCACACACACTTATACACACGTGCATAGGCTCACCAGTGGTAGAGTGGTAAAATCTTTTAACACTGAATTCGAATACAGGCAAATTCTTTGGCTTCATGCACGTTTTCGTGGTTTTCTCCATTTGTAAAGTGTATACCAGCCAGTTTCGAAGAAATGATTTTCTTCGAGGCATCCTTTCCCACAGGCAGATAGACCTAGTGTACTTTGCCATACTAAACTAAAATGAAACCCAAACCACTCATGGATACATACATTACATGTCTGAATCCTGTCCCGATAACAGAAAAGTACCAGTCAAAATTGGGCTTTTAAAGATTGTGAAAAGAGTTTTGAATTAAAATCCAGACTATAATTTCATTATCTTGTAATAAATACATTGGACTTAAGATTGCACTGTAACTATTTTAATATGAGTTCCACTTAAGCTGTCAATAATGCTTTACATTAAGTACTGAAATCAAGATCAGAATGTTATGAATTAGTATTATTGTTCGCATAAGTGCTTCACATTTATAAGTCCATTCTATTATCAATAATTTAATATCCATTCTTAATAAATAAGAACAATATGATACTAATTATTACATTTATTCATTTACAAGTTCTATGAATTGCAATAATTTCCTTTTCCAATATCTTCTTTTACAAAATACTTTCAGTCTATAATTCCTTTTTTAAATGTTAATTTCTCTTCATCATAAGTAAAATATATGCACACATTATGATGAAAAATTATTTAATTAAAATGTTCAAAGTATATGTTAAAAAAACAAAACATATTGACGTCTATAACATATTTATTAAAACTTATTTATTTACTACACTGAAATAATCAAATTCTCAGATTAATAGATAAAGTTTGAAAAGCAGGGTCTAAGAAATCGTGTAACATTTATTTTACATAAGAATGACTGTATATATGTTACGGTGAAACACACCGAAATCTGGAGAATGTCGACTTTCACCGGTGAATGTCAACATTCACTTAGTCGCTTGGTGTATGGTCCGAAATATTTTCCAAATACTCTTATTTCTGACGTACACCGGTAAATGTCGACATTCACCATGTGCCAATGGTGAATGTTTGAACATATAAGAATATTATATTTTCTTCTCGTAATTCAGTCGCGAAAAAACGCACTTGAGACTTAAAAATAAGAACTTAAAACACACTGTACATTCAAAATGAGAAAGGAAAGTAATATTTATAGAAAAACTTAAATGCAGTACGTTTAAATGAAAAATAAAATAATAAATAGTAATAAAAAACTTACCAAATTATGTGATTCAATCTTATTTATTGCAACAACATAAACTATTATTAACCTTTGAATTGCACAAGAGGTCCTTGCTTTTACAACTGCATTTATTTATGGAACACTTCCTTTTGCAATGACAGCTGTACATATACTTCTCTCTTTTTGACCTACACCAGAGCATATCTGTGATGTCGACATACACCGGTGAGGGTCCGAATGTACAAGAATGTAGTGCAATATTCGATCTTTCACCAACGCATTTGGTGAAT